CCCCCCCCGTTTCTGCTCTGCCAGGCTGCTGCTCGGATCAAGGGAATTTTAGAGGGGACCCCACGCATTTTTTTGTTTTTGTTTTGTTTTGAGGTTTCCCGTAAATATCCTACCAGACCTATAGGGGGAGACCACTTGATGATTTATTTATTTTATATGATATTCAGAAAATGTTTTGGATGCAACCGAATTTCATTATCGGAAAATTCAGATAAGGTACATTCAGATTAATTATTTCTTTGATTTGGAGATTGGGACGCATCCGAAAGTCTGAATTTCTGAAAATATGTACGAATTTAAAATTAAACGAATTGCACATGTCTATTTAACAACAAAAGTTCATTCCAAATGACATTCGGGATAATTTTCAGATGCACTCAGTGGCTGTCAGAGATCAGAGTAAAAAAGAGTCTGGAAAGATTAACAAAAGGGTGAAGAGTTTGGAGAAGGAAGGAGAAGTGAACAATCTAGGCCAAAATAGCTGATTTGGAAACATTCTCCAATTCAGCTCACTTTCCAGTTCAGCTATGTTGTCCTAGATTGTTCACTTCTCCTGCCTTCTCCAAACTCTTCACCCTTTTGTGAATAACCCTCTGGCAGCATTTGTTTGTGAAAAACTGGCTGCATGAACGGATACAGAGGGTAGTAATCAATTAGTCATTTTCTAATTGGGCAAAAGTGCTGAGTGGGGCGCCACAAGGTTCAGTCCTGGGAACGATCCAGTTTATCTTATTAATTAACTACATAGAGATTGGAATGAAAAGTTCAATCTTGGTGTTTGAGAATGATACTAGACTGTGTAGAGACATAAATTCACTTCAACAGGACCTAGAAAGCAAATTTGCGGCATGGGCTACAAGATGGCAAATGCTATTTAATATTGAAAAATGCACGGTTATGCACATGGGAGCAAAGAACGTGCATGCAAAATACTACTCCCGAAAAAACGAAATATCCGAACCGAATTTTCCCGCAGCTTAAATGTCTAACTATTCTGCATTGGTGTATAATGTATTGCTGGAATTTGTAGTCCATCTAGAGCTTAGAGATAGTGGCAGAACTACCTGGGCTCAGTGATTGCAGCTAGGGCCAGGCCCGGGCACTTCAGCACTGTCCTAAAATCATTAGCCTGTATTGTCACATGACACTAAAAAAAGGTATCGCTACTAGTACTCGGTCAGGAAAAAATGGTATTGATGCATCTCTACAAACCGGTGAGGCAGAGCCTCACCTGCCGTTAAGGAGAACTATGAGGTTAGTGCTTTTCACTCATCCTCATAGTTCCAGCCGACCTGTGACAATGAAATTGTCACAGGTCGGCTCAGTAGATCGGGAAGTGAGCGAACACATACCGGCGTTCGCTCACTTCTCGATCTTGTCACGGCAGAGAGCTGTGACATGGGTGGGACTGGATTCCCCCCTCCCCGCTCCTATCCTCCAGTGCTGACTGGCGGAACGGACTGGGGAGGGGACGGGTACAGCTGGCTCTGCCTCTAGATAGGCAGAGCCAGCTGTCACTCACGCAGCTGGGCGGATCCAGACATAATTGTCGGGATCTGCTTCAGCTGCGGCGTCTCAGTATACCGTGAGCTGTAGCGTGCGGTATACTGAGCCTAGGGTGACGGGAGGACGCTAGTTTGTGTCCTCCTGTTACCCTAAGGAGAACTATGAGGAAAGCCCTGACCCCATAGTTCTCCTTTAAGATAAAAAATAAATAAATTATCCTTACGCTAATCCACTGACGAGCTCAGCCTCCGCTCTCCGAGGCTGGCAGAAGTGATACAGCGGGTGCCTGTTACCAGCAACTGACTGGTTACACAAAATGTCTTAAGCAGGAAGGGGTGGGGCAAATTTGGATTGGGGGGTCCCCAAGTTTAGTCTTGCCTAGGGCAGTACAAAACCTAAATATCCCACTGGTCCATATAGTAAACTGAGTGGAAAGTTATTCACATCAAGGACACCCCAAAAGGCGCAAAGGCACTCTTCATGACTGGAGGAAAAACGAGTTTGAACTCCACATATCAAAAGGGCTCTTTACTGTAAGAGTGCTGAAAATGTGAAATCTGTGTTTTTTTCTTTTATAGATTTCAGTGAAGTTTATAATTTAACCTAACTTTGTAACTATATCCATTTACTTCGTAGCCAAGATAATAAAGAGATTTCAAAGTTTATTTCTGAGGCCTCCTGCTAGACAACTGACCAGAGAACAATTGATTGGATTTGTGAACACATCTTTCTATGACCCTGGCACAGAGATGGAACAATGGAACCCACCAGACTGGAATGAAAGGTACAAAGAAAACAAGAAAAACACTTTTTTTTAACTTTTAAGATTTGTGTAAAGCAAAAAAACATATTTTAACAGAAAAAAGGAGGTATTATAATGAAGTGTCTATGTACAGTTGCCTCTTCTGGTCTCTGGTCTACTTTAATACAATCATACTAATGAGGCCTTTTCTCAGGTTGTGTAAAATAACATACATGAATTATAAAGTGGAAAAGCAACTGTACAAAGAGGCACATTATAATACAGTCATGGTGCCTGAGAAAATGCTATCTGTTGCTTAACTCTACTGACATCATTCTAACTCCTCTTCAATGGATTATACCTGGATTTTAGTAATGCAAACTGAACCAGAGAAAGTCAAGGGATGCCGTGTTTTTATTCAAAGTCTGTTTCCTGTTTACCTCAGTTTTCCTATATGCTTGTGGAAGTCAGTTAGCTGACTTTACTTCCATTTCCACCACACTAAAACTATCCCTGCAACCGCAATCAGCTCCATGCCACCAGAGTATTTCACTTCATAATGACTTCACAAACAGTTTACCAGGCGTGGGTATATATAGTATACAGTATATGGTAATGTAATGGCTCTAGGATGCTATGATTTAAAACAGGATAACCCTTGTTTTGATCATAAATGTTTTAATAAGAAATGTTTCTTGACCCTATTAGCCAGTATGGTGCAATTCTTTAGTGCTCTCGATGTTGCAAAGGAATTGGCAGAGCGTTCAACAACAAAGATGGTGGCTGAGGTCTATATTGGGCTTGCTCATAGTGAATAACGGTTACCCTGACAGAGATTCTCCCCTCCCCCATCCTCTTCTCAGAGTGCATGTCCACACTTGAAGAGTGCAAACGAATGTGAACACTGGCCTAGCCCCAAAGAGGCCAAGTAGATCCAATAAGCATTTTTCTACATGCAAGAACACATTTATTGTGATGATCTGGCACCATGCTATGATAGTCTTGCCACAGTCTTGTTCTCAGTTGGTTTGCTGTCTGGGCTTTGACTGAACCAGTTTAGGACATTAAGGTGGCTGGTTTGAAAACACTTTGTTTATGAGCTTTGGGTCATTGTCCTGCTGTAAGGTGAATGTCCTCCTCTCTCTAAAGAATCTTGCAAACTAAAGTAGATTTTCTTCCAGTGTTACCCTGTGTACGGCAATTGATTCTATCCATATTCTTCCTAACCAATTTCCCAGTCATTTCCAATAAAGAGCAGGTCCACAGCCAGGGCCAGATTCCCTACAAGGCCACTGAGGCCATGTCCTCGGGGTGTCAGGGTGTAGAGGAGCGGCACAGCCAATACTGGCCCTTTACATTTTTTAGGAAGTTTGGCTGCCTGAGGTCCTGAGCTTGCCGGGAACTTCATGCAGCTGTCTATGATAGTACCGGTCCGGCTGCACATTGCCTCCTCCTCCCTCCTGGTGCTGGCACAGCATAGGACAGACCCACACCCAACAGCACAGCCCTGGAGCCCAGCACAAGCCAGGAACCCACCCATTCAGCCCTAGAGTGCCCAGCAGCCACATGCAGAGCCCTGGAGAGCCTTGCACCCACCCACACAGCCCTGGGGAGACTTGTATGCATCCCTGGTGAGACCTGCACGCATCCCTGGTGAGACCTGCATGCATCGCTAATGGGATCTGCACGCAGCCCTGCTGAGACCTGCACGCATCCCTTGTGAGACCTAAATGCATCCCTGGTGAGACTTGCATGCATCCCTGGTGAGACTTGCATGCATCCCTGGTGAGATCTGAACGCAGTCCTGCTGAGACCAAAACGTAGCCCTACCTCTGCATGCACCCCTTTATAATTGCTGTGTAATCATGGATTAAATGGTTCTGTAGTCCTCTATAGCTGGTTGCCATTCTCCATTGCTGTATAATTATAAACAAACTGCCCTAAAATCATTAGTCTGTATTGTTTTTGAAAAAATGTTACATTTCCCTTTAAGAAAAGGTATTAGTAATTGGTATCGGCAAGTATGGAAATATGTTTATAAATGATCTATTCTAACAGTCATTGGTAAATTGCGAGAATGGTGGTGGTGGGTTTGGCAGGGAGGGGGATGCATTGAGGAACCTGGCCTTGGGGCAACAGAGAGTAAATCCGGGCTTGTCCACAGCATGACCATCTGTCTACTACCACAATGATTTTTGGTTTCTTTAATCCTCCCTCACCATAACTTGTCTGGCTATACTATGTAATTGGTCCCTAAGTTCTACTCCTTGTAAACCAAGACATTAACACTGTATGATATCAGATAGTCCAAAACAGTTGTACACAGTTTTGAATTAATATCTTTATAACATTAGACCGTGTCTTTGCTATAATCCAGGAGTTTTGGATGCACTGTTGGCAAAGGGACATGTGGAATGATTTGCATGGCCCCACCAACTATCTTCAAATGAGGAATAACCATATTGTTTCTTTGCTTTGTGGTGGAAGTAATGATATGTAAATGCTATCTTTTAAGAAAGCTCTGCTGTGCTAGCTTAGTGGATTTTAGTGGATGTTTTGTTTTTTTTAAGCCCACCTCATCATAACTAATCTGGATATACCGTACGTTCCAGACATTGTGTAAATAATATTTAAAATGATGCAGATTTTTTTCCACTTCAACCTTATGGACTGTTATATGTAGATCAGTGACATCGAATCTCAATTAGATCAATTTTAATTTAAGGCCAGAAGTCCACAGAGGGTATATACTGTTGCAATGCACAAAATTACCTTGTAGAGTGTTATGAGAAGATGGCATCACTATATAAAGGAAAAATAATTGATGATGATGATAACTGTACAAGAGGTCTGTCATACACTTGTCACTGTTTAACGATTGTGTGTCACTGGTTTCTCTCTCAGTGTAATCTTATCAGTAAGCTCATACTGGTTGAAGACAACATCATTTTTTTTATTTCTAAGTCTCTTATCTCTACACTCCCATAATAAGAATGTCTAATATGCAAATAGCCACTAAAGTATAGCCATTATCATCATGAAATTGTTAAAGTAACATTACAGTGAGAGAGTTTTCAAACTAATTCAAATGCTGATTAAATCACCTACAATAGATGCTAACCCTTACATTTTAAAAGTATTAGCTTCCTGCAGATTCAGCTAGTCCTCTAATCACTGGCACTAATATCTTGTTTTAGGTTAGCTCCTTTCCGTTGCAGGGTCCTTTGGAGCCACCCTTGTGTGTGCTAGTAAGCTGTGTGTGTCTCCACAAACACACAGGCACAGCAAGGCAAGTCACTCCCCTCCTTCCTCCTCCCTTCTCCTTTCAACTTTCCTCTCCCTTCTCTAAGCTAGTAGATGGATGGCTGCTAGAGACTTTGATGTCCCTTTTAATCTTGTACTGGACAGGAGGTTCAGTGAAGCTTAGCTGAGAGAGTTGGAGCTATCTGGAAACATGATGACTGTAAGTGCTTGGGCAAAAATGTAAAGAAATACTTTGCTGGGCAATGTATACTTGTTTCAGTTGAATTCATTATTGAAAAAAATGTTTGCGAGTTTAATACTTTGTAAATATCAAGCATAAAAAACGGTGACAAATTCTTTTAAATTGAGCTTTTCAGTAATAATTCACAATGTGTACTGAAAGTACTGTAAAGCTTCTGCTAATGTTGCTATTGTTTAACAGCCCCAAATTCTTATCCGGTATTGCTAATGCTGAACTTCGCACGTGGGCCCTAAATATTACGTCTCTTTGGAAGTCTTTGGGCAGAAAGGTAAGAAAATAAACTGGATGTTTGAATGTGTCTTCAATCATGACTGTAAATATTATTTTCAATTATCTGGCATGGCAAGAATTAAACTCATTATTTTACAGATCAAAGAAGACGTAAAAAGTAATCCAGATCGCTATTCACAAATCTATGTTCCGAATCCAGTGATAGTACCTGGAGGCAGATTCCGAGAGTTTTACTACTGGTGGGTTTAAATATGCAAGTCTACCTTTCATGAATATGATACAATTGCATATAAACTTTAAATTGATTGAACTCATATAAACTAAGTTATTTCTATTTATTTTGTTTCAGGGATTCATATTGGGTGATCAATGGACTTCTTCTCTCTGAAATGACTCAGACAGCCAGAGGAATGATAGAAAATTTCCTTGACATTGTACAACGGTGAGCTGGGTCAAATCAACCACTCCAGAGTTAGAACTATGTATCAATAGCTTCATGGATACACAAGATTGAGTGAAGGGAAATAAAACTGGGTATATAGATGAAAGTAAAAGCAAATATAACTAAAGATAGAAGAAAGGAAAATGTAATAAATGTGTGTATAGAGCAGTTTCATAGCTTTTGTTTTTAATTACACAGATATGGAATGATCCCTAATGGAGGGAGAATATATTACCTTTGCAGAAGCCAACCACCATTCCTTACTTTAATGATGGATAGCTACCTGGCCAGTGAAAAGAACCTCACCTTTCTAAGGTACCTTCTTGACAGATTGACTGATGAGACTTATCATAGTCAAAGTATCAAATAAATATTTATATTATAATCTCTCTATTTCTAAGGGAAAACATTAATCTACTGGCAAAAGAGTATGACTTCTGGATGAACAATCGTACTGTACCAGTATCAGTCAATGGAAACAATTACACGTTGAATCGCTATTATGTACAAATAGGGGGACCAAGGTAAGAAGATCCTTACTGTAATTTTAGTTTTACTTAAAGTATATCCAAAGTTAAACTTTTTTTTTTAGTTTTTTTTTAGGATATAGTAAGGGAGGGTTAAAACTGTTAAAAAGTTTTTTTTTCAGTCTGTGTCTCATTAGGGAAAATTGCCTTCACATCCTGTCTTGTAGACTCAAGAAGAAGATTTCCCTTCTATTGCTGTTCTGATGGCTACTCAAAATTTTGAATTTACCTTCCCTTTCATTCCCTATGACAATATCAGTCAGGACAAATAGAGAGAGTGAATCTCCCCAAGTGTGTCTCAATATGGAGAATTGCCTTAACTTCCTGTCTTGTAGACTCAACAGGAAGTGAGAGAATATCCTTCCCGAGGGAAAGGGTTTCCCATAGGGTTATTCACAAAAAGGTGAAGAGTTTGGAGAAGGCAGGAGAAGTGAACAATCTAGGACACCATAGCTGAACTGGAAAGTGAGCTGAATTGGAGTATTTTTTCCAAATCTGATATTTTGGCCTAGACTGTTCATTTCTCCTGCCTTCTCCAAACTCTTCACCCTTTTGTGAATAACCCTGTAAGTGTTGGAGGATTTCTTCTACCTAACTGTTCTGGTGGCAACACAAAATTTTGGATTTACCTTCACTTTCATTCCTTATGACATTTTTGTCAGGACAATCAGAGAAGGTAAATCTCCCTAACAGGGACACAGACAGCAATAAAAACTTGACAGTGGCTCCAACCCCTCACCAATCTATCCAAAGCTAAAAAAAAGTTTTGCATTTTGGTATACTTAAACAACTTTGATACAAAACATGTCAACTGTTCATCCACATTAGATGACAGCTGAGCCATAGAATATGTTCCAACCACTGAAATATATTCTTAACCTCAACATTCACACACAAGCTTGGTTAAAGTAAATGTCTGTCATCACGAAACCTAAAAACAATCAATCCACCAAAGCAGGCACCACTAAGTACCTTTGAATGTGCACTTATTTTATGCTCCTGCAGAACCCCCAAACACACTTCGTGAAATCACTGACTTCCCTTTGTCTCGGAGCTCTGAGAGTGGAACCACATTGCATTGTGTGATATCTGAGGCAAGCCCGAGCTCTGAGTCTGAGAAAAGTCAATGACTGTAGGGTCAGTGGGTACCTTAAGCTCACATAGACACTTTCACGCACATTGTTTGGTGTCTGCTGTGCTAAGCTACTGTCAGTTGAATAGGTCTGGGAATTACATAGGTTTACAACAATTATGTCTTGCAAACCTTGTAAACCAAAGGTGGAAGATTTGAGTTTTTAAGAACCTCTACAGTGCAGGCTGGAACATCGGTCTACAAGTAAACCTATTTACGAGTATAGCTTGACTTTTTCCTTTGGATGCATAGGCAATAGATTTGCCTATGTTCTGTGTGCAATGATCAATCCTGAGCAGGGAGTGCTCCAGTGTATACACAGGAAAAACATTAACATAACTAGGAACAAGCTCAGCAAACAAACTTCATAACCATTGCATTCTATTTCATAATGGTGTGAGAAGTATAAACAAAACATGTCTGGATGTATTTTACTCTGAGGTTAAATTCATTAAATGGGGTTAAATATTAGGTTAAATGAGGTAAAATATTGCCCTAAACCTGGAAAACCCTTTATGGCCTCTTATTTAAAGTACACCTGTGCCAAGACCATTAACCCCTTCATGACTGAGGCCTTTTTTTCATTTTTTGCACCCATGTTATATTCCACATTTTAGGCCTGAAAATTACTTAAAATCCCCACACATTATATATTTTCTGAATGCCAAGACCCTATACAATATAATGGTGGTAGTTGCAAATTTTTATGTTGCGCAATATTAGCGCAACTCCTTATTAAACCCCAAAATTTAGTGATAAATTTAATAAATGCCCCAAAACACAACAAAATACCCATTTTTTAAATGGAATATAAAAAGTATTTATTGTGTGTATATCATGTTACGCAGTAGATGATCTTTAAAACAAGCCCTTATAGACCTCTGTAGCTGTAGGTATTGTAGAGGAATTCATCTTTACATTTTAGAAGAGATGCACTAAATTTACAGTTCCTCTTCCCTTTTCTCTGGCAGCAGGGACTTGGCATCCTGTCTGTCCTGTAAGCTGGTGCTGCAAGGTGTTAGAAAGACTGAGTTGAGAATTTTTGTTGTGATTTTTGAGGATGAAGTACCCTACAATGTCCACAGCTACAAAAGTCAGTGGTGGCTTGTTTTAAAGATCATTTTAATGCATGTTAAGGATATGTAAATACTTTGATGTTCATAGTCTGAGCACAGGTGTACTTTAAATAAGATGCTATAAAGGTTTTTCCAAGTTCCGGGAAATATTTACAGATACATTATCTTTAACCTTAGAAGAAGGTACAAACAGACACCTACTTTTTACAGGTGCACTTTGAAACCAATTCCCAGGTATGTTTTCTTTTTTCCAAAACCCTTTCTCTACCCCCTGGCGAAAGCCCTGTTTTTAATTTTGTGATTGATGTCACCACCTAGTTTTACCCAGTTTGAAAATCTTTGTTTCCCAGCAGTGCTGGAAGGAGGAGTCTCCAGGGTAACATTACATAACCTGCAGAACAAATGGGCGCATAGAGGTGATCCGTCAACTGGTGCACAGATAGACGGCTGGAGTGACTGCTCTCCTCAACAAGAAATGCAACCACTAGCACAGTTATCAGCACCATTTTCGGGTTTAATTGGGAGGGGGGAAGGAGTGAGCCAGAGGCAGACAAAAAATAGAGATGTCACGCTTAGCTGGGGCAGTTTCTGCAATTAATTCAAAGACACTTCTGTCCAGACAACAACTTTAAATGATCCGATTGAAGCCAAGCCATCAGAATGACAGGCAGGGAATTAAGATTCTCAAAGGAAAGTTCAGTATTGGCAGCCCCCATTAATCTCTTATGACAGTGTCCCATTAAAAACATGCCAAAAACGGTTTGCCTTCATTACACCCATGAAACGACAGAATTGAATCAATTTCCCCATGCTTAGGAGGCCAGCAACGCTAACATACTTGCATGTAATATCCCTAGGGCTGTGGCAGCGACAGAAAAAGTCAGGATTATTCTAGTTTTTCGTTCAGTTGTAGAGGTCTATGTTCATTACCATCTTAATGACACGAATAGCAGAACATTCAGAAATAGAACTCTAATGGATACAATTTTTTATTATCTACAGGCCAGAGTCTTACTCTAAAGATTATGAGCTTGCTGAAAACCTTACGGCAGGTACGGTAGAAGTTGGTTGTGTCTTGCTACTATTGATATTGATTGCATGCCAAAAAACCTATTTACCAACAGCATTTCATTTTATATATGTAGACGCAAAACCATCACTTTATTCAGACATTGCAGCTGCTGCCGAGTCTGGTTGGGACTTTTCTACTCGCTGGTTCTATGGTCCTACAGATACTTTGCTAGACACAAAAACCAGCTCTGTGATTCCTGTAGACTTAAATGCCATCTTGTGTCGTGTGGAGAGAACATTGGCCAAATTCTACACTGAGCTAGGTGAGATAATAGACACATTTACCCATTTTTAATAACAGAGATCAGACTACCAGATTAGAATTATGAATATAGATTGGCATAGATATAAAGGTACAAAACCTCATAAAATTCAACAAGATATTGTTTGAACTTTAGAACGTGTTAAAATCTACTGTATATAACTCTAAATGCCAATAGATTGCTGAAAATATTCAGTGTCATAATCCATACAAAAATTGGTTGAAATTATAGCAGCAAATATAAAGATGACTACATGAGGACAGTAGGAACGGCTCTATATTTTGGAATGCGGGGCTGATTTATTTTTTAGAGGAATAGAGCAGTTTGTATTTGTATGTTCCATCTTAATAATTCAATCATGAGCAAACAAAAAACCTTTTTTTTAAATTTTCCGCATGAGTGGGTATTTACTAAGATATGGTAATATGCACTTTGCAAAGTAAACATTTACATAAGTGTATTTAAGTGAACAGCCTCTACTCCTTTAGTTAATCAACCCCACCATGTACCGTTGGACCGCTAAACATTTTGCACAATTTCCCTATGAAATATTAGCATGCAGGCTATTAGTGAAGGCTGTGTATTTATCACTGTGACTAGAGCTAAGTGACATTTGTAAAAGTTGTACTGCACTCCACTAAACAATTGGAAACCTTGGTGAAATTGTATTTTTGGTCATTATTTTGTTCCTACTCTACTCATCAGGTGAAAGGGAAATAATTTTTTTCAAATTCTCCTGTACATGTTGAGTATCTTGAACTTAATGGGAGAAGCTGTACAACCTACCCTTCTACACTGATTGATGTGCAACCTTTACACAAAATTGAATTCCACCTTTTACTTGTTTGGATTCCATTGTATGCAACAAAAGTGGTCCAAGACTAACTTATAAACAATAGAATCAGAGCAAGGCCACTGAGGGGGGAAATCCTTTCATCCTAGGCAGTTGTAGCTCATGAAAGAGGTGTATTCTGTATGCTATAATAGGAACCTTTTCTGAATCTTTCTAGCCTTCAGTTAAATGGTAATCGGCTTGCATTGGATTGTTATTTAACCTTTTTCTATCTTCTGCTACTTGGTCTCAAGATATGCCAGAAATGGCTTCCAGGTTTTCAGAAGCCCTAAACCAACGGCTCAAAGCTGTGCAGGCTGTGCTGTGGGATCCAGATCTAGGAGTATGGTTGGACTACAATTCAGAACATCAGAAAAGGAATCCAAACTTTTACCCTAGCAACTTGTCTCCACTCTGGGCTTCATGTTATGAGGACACAGCGGTTGTTGACAGAGTTGTTTCGTATTTGGAGGTAGGTTACATGAATACATGAATAATTATGTATTAATATTTTGCTGGACACTACAAGATTAACATTTTGTACTTGTTATAGACACATTAAAACCTAAACTATTTACCCCATTTCAATCTCCGAGTAAATAGGGCACACACAGTAAAAGAGGGCACACATAGATATGGTGGAGAGTTGAATGTTAACTTAAAAAAATAAAACAATGGTAATCAGGGAATAGAGTAGTGATGATGTTTCAAGTGTTATTAAACCTTAAGTCTGGCCACCATGAAACTGCAGTTATGTAGCCTAGTGTCTGTCAAAAAATAATCTGTCTGAGGACTTTGTTTTCCTTGTTTCCTTGTCAATCACTTCTAATCCTATGTGTTCTTTTCCTGGTTAAACAATGCTGGTCCCAGAGTGGGCAACATCTATGGCTTTGCACAGTTTGGGGATACAACATTTCCCAGGATGACTTTGCAATCATCAGGTGTGGAGGGTAAGGGAGGGTAAACCAGGAACTTCTAATCATACTAGGGCTGCAACAACTAATTGATTGAATTACTGGTTAGTTGGTTGGGTGGTGTTGGGGGAGAGATAATTTTTTTCTATGCAACCAATCGATTAGTTGAAAAAATAATTGGGCAACTAATCGATTATGAAAATAATCATTAGCTGCAGCCCTAAATCATACCCATTCTTTGTGGCTGTATGGCAAAGATTGTAACCACATTCCTTACAGTCCCAGGACTGACGGAGAATATTAGTGCTTACCGGAGTTTTGGGACAGAAAAATCAGTGGGTTTATGCAAGATAAGGTGACCTGATATCTAGCAAACAGCACAATCCATATGAACCAATGTGCAATCCACATATGGTCTGTGTATATGGCCTAAGTATTTTATACTGTAGTCAAGACATTTTTTCACATTGATTTGCCTATGATGTGTTGCAGAATATCGTCCTGTTTGTTTAGGTGTTAATAATAGATTTTGAACATATATACAGTATGTTAAGCACTTTGGGTTTACAAAATCTTTACAATACATATAAACACAATTGCCAATGTTTTTCCCCCCCCCCCCAGAAAAGTGGAGCATTGTCCTACAATAATGGTCTTCCAACTTCTTTCAAAAACTCTGGACAGCAGTGGGATTTCCCCAATGGCTGGCCACCTTTACAACAGATGGTAATTGAAGGTAAGGGTTCAAGAAAAAAGGTAACACTTCCTCTGCTGATCTGCAAGAACTACTTTACCTCTTATATTAAAAGATAACATAAAATCGTTATGCTCCGTTATGCTCCAGTGACCTTTCATGTTGAAAAAATTGAACGGCGCTGTTTGCCCAGTCATTTAATTGACATAACGCAGTTGCTGGTTTCTCACCATATAAACAATGTAATTCACAGAAGAGCATGTCCGTGCTTTCAGAGCACAACAAATACACAGGGGTAACTTTTCCTCCCTTTATGAAGTGGATCAGAGACAGATCTAGACATTGACCAAAAAGGGGGCGGGGTATTGTATATATATTGGGTCAGCATGGTCATGACTGATGATGGCAGGCTGACGTCATCAGTCACACTGAAGCCTTTGCCGCTGGTAACTGTCCTGTGCTTCTAGTCCCCACACACACTAGAAAAGCCAGTCACAGAGCCTCTGTAAAGATTTTTCCTCACTTCCTCTTCCTGTGAATACTCAAAATGTTTGAATTTCCCATACATTTCTGTATAGGAGACAACAGTCACCAGGACTATTAGTGAGGGTAAATCTCTCCTGTGGGGATACAGCAATAAAAACTAGAGTAGAGAATGGGTGTGCAAGCAGAGAACTGGCAAAAACAGAAAATGTCTGCATTCAGTTTTCTTCAGACTCATATCATAAAAAGCCTAGATGTTCCTGGGGTTCTAAGGGTCCACCTTTATCAGGGCTTGGTATTGTTGAACGAAGTACTGTATGTATTGGACTGATAAGATTGGAGTGATCCTAATTTGTAATCAGTATGATTCATCTTTCAGTCCAGTACACATTTTTGCAGTATCAAGCCCTGATGAAGAGAGCCCCCCTGAAATGTTTAGGATTTTCATAACAGGGAAAAACTAAATCTGGACTTTATAAGTTCTGCTTTTGGCACCTTCCTCTTTCTACAATCAGTCCCTTACCAAGCAAAGAGCGGACCTTACCAGCAATAAGAGCGGACCTTACCAGCAATAAAAACTAGAAAGAGGTTCTAACTCTTCCACATTGTATAAACAATTGTCTTGACATACTTTAAGGGGTAAGTGTTAACAACTACCAGATGCTTTTTGATTTAGAGACTATGCTATCAGACTGAGACATGCCAGTGACTATCCCATTTACTCTTCTCCCCCTACAGTCCCACCTCCAGATTTTAGCTTATATGTCCATACCAGAAGGAGGAAGGAAGAGTGAAGTGACAAAATAAATTAACACACACACACACTGCTGCTGACCGTGGCATTAGCCCGTGAGGGCTAAAGTGGAAATTCCAGTCATGACTGCAGAACTTTGACATCAGAATATCCCCACCCGCCCTCTGAAGCTCTGTTGGCCAGCAATGGGTTTTTAGGCTCAGCAGTATATTTTAAAACACTGTAGTGTGTTTCTTATAAATTCTCTGCAGCACATTTAAAATATGTATTGTTTCTGATAGGCCTGGAAAACACGCAGTCTGCCAAAGCCAAGGACATTGCCTTCCGATTGGCCCAAAAGTGGGTCAATGTCAATTATAATGCCTTCAAGAAGTACAACGCCATGTTTGAAAAGGTAAGTTTGTACTGTAAGAAAGCTGGGTTCTCTAAGAAAATGGACAGTGTAAAGCTGGCCATACATCTTACAATCTAACTGTACAGTTCTTGTATAGTAAATCTCATGGCATGATTTCTCATTGGTTTCTTAAAGATCAATTGTGCATTACCCTTTGCTCAATGAAAGAACAATTGTTTGATGCAGCACACATGGGGCCATAAAAAATGAAATAGACTCTTAACTACATGGAGCCCTAGATTGGAAATTGACATTGGGATGGCAGCGTTGTGTGCTGTGTATATATAATGTATAACTTCTGTATGCTATGTTTGCGAGGTATTGCTTTACTTTTTATAGACACTATCACTTTACCCTCATTGGGTTAAGTAACATTTGACTTCACGTTATGTGCAGTCAAATATTTCTATCAGTATTAAAAGTGTTATTAGAACTATTTTGTCCTTATTGTAATATTGTTTATTTTATTTATATCACCGCATTAGTAATCATTGCAAAATGTCAAAAAGCACAAAATCAATACCATTGATAATAAACAATCTATAATAATCCACTACAGCTGATTGATGCTCACCGGCTGGAATCTGTCAAACGTTTACTGTGATCTATTTTCATGCTCTTTTGTAGCGCCCAATATTGCTTCAGTTCAATCATTTTTATTGATCAAGTGATCAGTCAAACTTAAAACTTGCCCTTCATAAAGGAGAATGTATGATTAGATTGGTAGGTGTGAGGCCAGCTTTAGAAACAATGATCATAGTATAGATTATTATAAACATTCTGATTTTTTATTGGAGTTCATTGGTCTAGGCATAGCTTTTAGGTGCCCATACACCTTACAACCATCGCAAGACTTTTGTCTTGCGATGGTTGTAAGCTAGCCTGTTTTCCCTGGTACATTTTGTCTAGTGTTTTATTCACTAGTTCACAAAAAAAACTCTTTCAGGACAGACATTTTATGGACAGCTAATGTACACTTTGATATATGTTTGATCCTGGTCTGAGCACTTGAACCATGTATGTGTTTTATGGATGGGTTCTTTCTGGAAATGTATTTTCTTTGGTTGTGTGTTTGACTCGTCTGAAGTCATTATGCTAATACTTGTGACTGGTTTAAGTAAAAGGGATAATTCTATGATATGATTATCTGTAATCCAGTTATTCTTACCTGTCCCCAGCTTTCTTTAAATCCATTCCCTTCCATGGCTCTTACCTAAACTCCTTGACATACATCTTTATCCTCAGGCTGGACTTTTTTCTGTTCTTTGTTGAATGTCTCGTTTACTTTGGTCTCTTCCTTTGGCACCTCATGTTCTAGTCCACTTGGCATTCCCCTTTCAGATGCTCATGTCCTTGCTTGCCTAGGTATATGCAACTCTCTGAGCTGCTGAATACAGGTATTCCAACTGATCAATATAGCAAACATGCGATGGCTAAATGAAATAATGTATGGAATATTCTTTACTTGTGGACTGAGTTTTAGAAACAGACAATATCAGTATGCATAAGGCTTGAAACAAGAAACAGAGGTTTCACATAAGAAAACACAATGTAAGACACATTAAATAATTCCCTGAACAGCAAAAATGCTGATATAATACTAACAATTATTTATAATAATGTAAAAATCCAAATTAAATGTATGGATTGTCATATATGTGATTGTATCTTTAGCATTTGTTTTATTTTTGAACAGTATGATGTGGAAGGTGATGGTAAACCAGGTGGAGGAGGGGAATATGAAGTACAGGTAAGACCTTCATATTGGAAACTACAAACACTTATATACAGCCCTCTCTGATTTGTATGTTGTCTTAAAAGTCTGATGATTTGTTTGAGTCTTTGTATGACCTTTACAGTCTATTACCCATCTCTAATATTTAGGATTGTAGTCCGGGTCAAAGGGTTGACATTTTGCAGACTATTAATTAGGGAAAGCTTACTGGGTTTTCTTCCTTTCAACAAAATAACGAATCAAAATTTACTGCAAAGATGTTTCTAAAAATAAAAATGTAAAGGAAGCTCTACCATGACTCTGAGCTTACTAGACAACCAAAACACCAATCCAACAACCAAATATTCCAGCTAAAAAAACTGTACACATTTATCAAATATATTTGGCAAGACAGGAGAAGGAGGAGTTGAAGTGAATCACTCGCGAAACAGCCTCCCCCATCTTTTTCCTTGGTCTTCCATGGAGACTGTTCTGTCTCAACCACCAATTTATGTATTTGAATACACTTCCTGAGACTAGTCTGTACGGATAGTATGATAACCCAGCTGATGGTATCCACAGACAGGGTCCAACTCACTATGAAGACTCAGAACAGAATCCAGTGTAGTTTATTCAGGCTTGACAATAAAAAGCATGTGATTCCTAGTCATTTTAAAGGTGCCCATACACCTTACGAATATCAGCCGATTTTCGTATATGCGATCACGTTTTCGTCCGATATTCGTAAGGTTGATGGGCAGTGTACAACCGCAAATACTGTACAATCGATCGACTTTTTACTAACCAGCAGGTTAGAAAATTTTGGTCGATCGTACGATTTTTGCAAGGTTGGTGGCGTTTCCGTACGTCAAAATTCGTACGATTTACACTGCACATGCGCAGACGAAAATATATGTGGTCGATTACCGCAATTCGTTCAGGTGCTTTCTTTTAATTACCATTGATCCAACCTTGCGATAATCGGGGCAGGATGGGACGGCCGTACCAAAATCGTTCGACGGTTCGCTCATCGGACGAAAAGTGTCGTCCGATGATCACAAGGTGTATGGGCACTTTTAGAGTGGAAAGACATTTCTACCTGTAGCCTTGTAACACCCTGTATAGAACCCTCTTACCTCACTGAGGGAGAAGACGAAAAGATATTGGAGGAGAGAGGCTGGAAGTGTCTACTAAAAGACTGTTCCAATTTACACAAAACAACAGGGAGTGAAATGGAAGATCCCAAAGTATATAGAGATGAAGCTGTAGTAATTTGAATCTACCACTAGTTGTCAGGAATATACCATAACATGATGATAAGCAATGAATATATAGCAGAAAATGACAATGGCTGTGGCAGCACAGAGACATATATGGAATTTACCAATAAGAGGGGTATGTTGGAACACAGGATCTTTTCCATGTCCAGATGGTGATTACCAATGATTAGATAGGAGACTAGCCAAAGTACCAAATAATCAAGCGGATACATAGATGAGCACAGAATAGGCAGGTGTGAGTTTAGTTGAGTCATATCCTGTGTAGTACATCGGGAACACACGTAATAGGCTGAGCTGAGTACTAACCAGAGTAGCAGATTAGAATATTTAACCTCATAGGACTCTGATAAGAAGTAACAAGAACCTATGCTCAGGCACTGTTTCAGTGCCCGGAGCCAGATTTAAATTTTTTGAATTTTTGTTTTTGCTGTGCTATGTGCAAGCAGCAGATTTTGACATCTACCAAGTAATAGCCAAGGCCTGCACCTAGGAACAATATGCCGAGCATACTGAACAGGAAGAAGAAAAGTATACATCAGTGGGGTCCTGGATGTGAGCATTCACCAATGGTTTTATTACAAGGTTAAAAATGCAAGCGTTCAAAAGCGCTCAGGTATATTTGGTTGAGATAACCCCCCATCTTCAGACATGGTACAATTATCTGTTTTGAAATGCATTACTGTAATTTTACATTTCTGCTTACAGTAATGGTGAATACCAATAATTGCCATCAAAATATATACATACAAATTCAACAATGTATTAATTCAGTTTTGTTAAAATATAGCTTTTGAAACTCTTAACTGTTGCACTCTGTTAGTGTGTATAATTGCGATTATTTTACCATACTGCTTTATTTTCTTTCTCAGCTGGGCTTTGGATGGAGCAATGGAGTAATCCTTCAGCTGTTGGATGTCTACAAATCACGTCTGACCAGTTCAGCCATCATTACCTCATTCTCATTTCCTGTTTTACTGTTTCCAATATTAATCCTTACTTTATGGGCATAAACATTATGATGCTGCTTACTCCAGACATTTATCCTGAATATATTAATCTCTTACACCATTTGAATTTTTTGCATATGTCTTAAAATATTCATGTACATGAGTCAAGCAGCTCCTTAATGGCATTAGAGCACATTCCTTCCTCTGCACATAGAAATGCATGTATCTTGAGTATACAATTTTCATGTTTTGTGTGTTTTTCCATATATTTTACCTTCATTTACATTTCAAAGGAGAATACTGTGCATCGCCATGTATTCAAATGCATGTACAAGACACATAGGGCATTTTACATGAGTTAGCTCCCATAGCTTGCTTAGAAAAGGTATTTTAGGTGCCCTGTAATAAAATGCATTGATGAGAACTGTACCATTGAAAGTACTACACTTTAGGCACAGTTTAAAGTGCATTAAATGATCCATTACATAACATCACATATATAAAGCTGTTGGTGCGAAACAAAATTGATGTTTTGGATATGCTTCATGCAAGCCATAAACTCTTCTTTTTCTACCCATGAATAATTTTGTTACCTAAGAGTTTACAATCATTGTTCTTATTCAACACTATTGTGCTCTTATGTTTTCAGTGCTCTTCCTGAGGCCCCCAACTCTACCCAAATGTGCTACTTGCAATATTACATGCCTGAAAGTCAATCTCATCTATATCTTTTGTAAATGACTGCGCCTGAGTTTGTCCCTGAATACACGCAGTGTTGAGGCATCAGTATGGCTTCAATATTAAAATTGGAAGCAAGTACTGAGAACTGATCAAAGCAAAGGGGGAGAACATCCTATGCACAGCCAGAGCTGCATACACACACATAAGCAGGCCATATACTGTAAATGTATACATTAGAAAAAATGCTTGATTCCCCTATCCACACCAAACAGCGTGGATGGGGGAATGCCCCCCGACAGGCTATTGTATGCTGAAAGCGTCAGACGTGCCACTGTCAGAATACCCAAACAAATGATTGATTAGCTGTAGTGACTGTTCAGCCAAACTAGCTCCTTCACATAAGTCGTTTTAAAAATTGTTGAATGGAGGGGTGCTAATGAGGCAATACACTGCTGGAATCCCGGTCAGCAGAATTCAAAAGAAAATTGAGCAGTTTGTGGCCATGTTTACACTGAAGACCTCTGCTGAAAGCTGGTGATAAGTTGTCGGTGCTCCCATTCATCATACTGAAGTCACGCAGCACATTGACTTGAAGTCACCAAACACAGGTGTTCAGGGATGCACTCATTCTTCATTGCAAACTGAATAAAGTCTGAAGTTGTGTATGGTGCAGACAACAGCTTCTTCTCCACCTATTCATTGTACAATCCATAAATACCATCATTATCACGCAAACTAGTAAAATAACAAGCCTGAAATATAATAAAAACATGAAAAGAGATTACCAGGCACTAAAATGCGGAACAAAATCTGTTTCAGGTGTCCTTTAACGCCCAGTTATAGTGTGCCCACAATTCTAACTGGCCTCTAAAGTCTATGGCAAGCTTAACACTACAGTGAGAGTGAGAAAGGGAGTTGTTGTCCATCAACAAATCAGGTTTCATCTTTCATAAGCTACAAGAAATAAAAGTGAACTCATATATGAGAATGAATGAATGAATGGGGTCCCATTATCCACAGATCAGCTGTGATCTATTTAACTTTGGACCTCAAGTTGAATAATTAAAGTTAACTTCTAATACCGTCCAGGATAGATTGTAGCTGAAAACTTGACCCGCAATTTCAAATGAGCTGTTCTCAGAACACAGGATTACTGCTGCACTGGAGAAACATGGTGGCTGCCATTGCTGGTCTCGTTTAGAGAACGCTGGTTTTAAGACCCATTCACACTAGATCTGTTGCATTGTGTTGCAATCCGTTCATCAATGGATGCTAAGGTAAGGGCACCGAAATATGAATGGGACCGGTTCACACCACTGCAATCCATTCCGTTGCAGTGCGATGAAAAAACGTAGAGCGTGCTTTACTTTTTTTCAGCACCATATAACAGAACAAAAAAGGATGTAATCACAATGCAACAGAGCAGTGAGAAAAGAAAAAAACATTTGTCCACTCAGGACATGTTAATTAACATAAAGATTGGCAAAAAAAAAAACACAACAGAACAGAATAGAAGCCAACGGAGGTTGAATCTGCAAGTCAACGCACCATCATTTGACTTGCGATTTCCTTCCAATTTTGGCATGAACGCGGCCCTTATGGATATGTCTGGTTTCAGAATTCCAAATCACAAACCTTAAATATGTTTGATGCAAACGAAAGTCAGAGAAATGTCAGAATCTGTATACTTCAGATGAGAGACTTAAACTGCTGAAGACATATCATCATCTTCATCACAACAACCAGGCAACAAACATTTTAGGGAGTCAGCAATGATAGCCCTGTGCGTCTCAGAATAGGTATCCTTTATGTAAGTGTGGCCTGTTGCAGATATATGTTGAAAGGCACGTTGGGCAGATAGGTTGCTTCTCTATTTGTCTTTGAAGCCCTCATCTTTAAAACTGAATAGACAGTCTCTTGAATAATCTCCTCTAAGAACTATTTATATCTTCCTCTTCATCATATTATTGCTGAATGGGTCTCATCAGAGATTCAGTGATGCAATCCAAGCTTTCTGTGTTTTGTTGAGTTTGAGCTGTGCTCTCAGTATGATGCCTGATCAGGTAATTATAATGTGCTCAATAACACTTCTGGTCCATACAACTGGAAATCATTACCTTACAAACACATAGTTCCTTAAAGCCAGCCTTTCCATCCAAGACTGAAGTAAAGCAGCAAAAGCAATCAGATGGAGGTACCGGCAGGTGTCTTCAAATACCTTCTAATGAATGTTCCCAGTATCCATGATACCTTAACCCCAGGGCACTTGGATGTGCAAAGCGCAGTTTGGTTACCAAAGTCCACAAGCCGCACCTGCCTATTGGTTATCTCTCCATTTTGCTCAATAACCAATAGCTGCATGTCAGAGAGAGCTCTCGGGATAACATTAAGCCCAAGGCTTCAGGGCTTTTGTTGCTTCACTACCTCTGTTGTTATCAATATGTATTAATGTGACCTTTCCACATGAAACTCACATAACTGGATATTATAAATGGAAGCATTCTTATCAGTAGATTGTCTTATCTCTCTCAATTTTCAATGTCCTGTTATATATTTATGTGATAAGCTTAATATTAAAATGTACAAAAATGCTGGCGAGAGTGCATTTTATTTTTTGGAAATCATGTTAGAGGGAAACCTTCAAGAAAATATATTAGTAGGTGGGGATGTATACTAGATCCATAAATATGTCTGTATACAGATCTATGTATAGTATACAGTATACATATATCCACACATCTGTACTTAAAAAATTACAGTAAACTTCCTGCTATCTGGCATCCATGGGGATGGGTAGATTCTGGATAAATGTTTCCGGTTCCTTGAGAATTACTATTAAAAATAGGTGTAACTAATGCCATACCCCATACTATACCATAAACGTTGTATGGACTTCATATTAATATTGCAATGCAGTAATCTAAAGCAAAGACAAAAAGGCACACAATTGTTTCCAGGATAATACATGCCGCAGATCAGCGACTACACAGGGATTTTTTTTTTCTGGTTAGATGAGAGTTCTGGTTAAATACCGGATAAGAGAGTTTACTGTATTTTGTTATCTATAAATAAGCCACTTGTGATGAAAATAAAATCAGCACTTGGGTAACCAGTAGAGGGATTATTAACTGACTCACTGCACATAATAGCATTTGAACAATTTGGCCCCATGGGTATTTCTTTGTCAAGATACAGCTATTTGGATCACTGGTCTAAAGGGCCTGCTCAAGTAAGGCTGCACTTAAATTGTATTTACAATTTTGCTGTCAAATTTGAGAAAACCCCTCTATGTTTATGATGCGTTCCTTTTCACACAGCATACCTTTAAAAAAATATTTCTTACCTTTTAGCGGTTCCTTTGGCGAAGACCTTTGTGCAGATTCCAGGCTAGTCTAAGCAGTTTAAAATTGAAAGGAGAGGGTCAAACTGAGCTTCCTCTAACTCGCAAACAATGCTCTTTAACCCTTTGGTAGGACAGCCAGTGTTGAAATCTAGTTTGCAATTGATAATTAAATCTGCCAGCACAGTGCAGACAGGGTTAACTAGAGTAGATAACTTCCTACAGCCCCCTCAACATTTCAAAAAAGGTAGGAATTTTACGCAAGTATTAAAGCACTTAAAATGTAAGGAGCAATTTTTTAATATTTTTGCTTATGCTACGTGAAGGAGAACATGTAACGAATATTAAATGGATGTTATCCCAATATGACTGAAAAAGTGGACACACACTATAAGCCTTAAAGTGATAGTAAAGTCAAAAGGTTTTTAAACTATTTCAAATGCTGATGAAAAATCACAATGCTGCTTCTTGATATTTAAAAGTTTGTTTCCTGCAGTCAGTTGGTCTCCTGATAACAAGTCCGGACTTCCTTTTGCAAGCAGTGATATGCAGTCACCCTTGTGTTTGCTAGTAAGCCATTTGTGTCTCCGCAAACACAGCAAATCAAGCTTTTCCCTTCCCCATGGCACCCTCTCTTCCCTCCTCCAAGGTAGTACACAAACTGTTGCTGGAGTCTGCTCTCTCCTTTGTGATCTTGTACTAGACAGGAAGTTCAGGGAAGCGGAGGTGAGAGACTTGGAAGCAGCTGTTCAGAAACATGATGATTGTGTTTGGGTAAAAATTAGGGATGCACCGATACTAGTATTAGTGCTGATACCAAGTATTTTGGGCGAGTACTCGTCCAAATGCTTCGATACTGGAACGTCTGGTCAGAGGAAGATTTGCAATCAGGAATCTGGACAGTGAGTAATGACCCGTCTCCCAGCTTCCTGATTAGCCAATCAGGAAGCTGGTTCATTACTCGCTGCCTGGCTTCCTGATTGGCCCCGAAACCGGCTCGATGCTGATTGAGCTTGGCCAGGAAACAGGCTTTACAGCCAATCAAGCAGGTTAGACAACATGGAGCCAGCTTCTCGGGCAACCAAATTGACTGGGAAGCTTGCTCCATGGCAGCGGAAGCACCGGTATTGGTACTGACGAGTACAGAAAGCAAAGTATTGGTACTCGATACAGAAAAAACGGTATCTGTGCACCCCTAGTAAAAATTTAAAGCAATGCTTTTATCTGGATTCATTATTGAAAAATGTTTGAGAGTTAAATACTACTTTAAGAAAGCAGTAAATAGGACTTAGGTGTGTGCATACTTTGGCAGTCCCCTCCTATGCACAGCCTTGCTTCCTGGGGACTATAGGGAAGGAGGTGCAAAGAGGCAGGTCTAGGGCTCCCTTATTCACCCCAAAAAATTAAGAATGAAAATACTTTGACGAACTGGATTTCTCCTTATTTAGGCAAATATGACGAAACATGAAGCGTTGGTGTTCACAGATTTGAACTTACATTTTCCAAGATATATTTTAAACTTTATTGGTAGCAACAAATAAAAAACAAACCACCTTTGTTAAGAACATAAAACTTGCTACATACGTATCCCAATTTCTACCCATTAAGGATATATCGTAACAACGTCTCCAACTGCTCATACAGTAACATTTCGCATTTCTGCTGACCAAGCACACAGACAATATTTACTGCTGAGATGTTAATCTAACTGTAAAATTAGCTCTGCAGATTTCTTCCATTATCTATATGATTTTTTTCATTCTTCTTGAAAACGTTCTCCCTGTAAAACTGCAGTTCCTTGATGCTTTCGCTGATATCATCTAGAGCTCTGAAAAGTAAAGAACACATCAAAACAAAATGATTCAATGGAGAGTATAACTAAACGGATGGAGAATATATTATATGAACTAAACACGCACATGCAAGACTCTGGAACTTCCTGGTAGTGTCAAAGACCATCTGTACCCTCCGGCACTAACCACTGAGGAAGCCCATCAAAGTGATGGCACAAAGACAAACCGTAGTCTGAATTAAAGATGATTTATACAAGTTCAATACTATACTATCCCTTTGAGGCCTGGTTCACACCCGAACGTTTTGTAGCGCGTTCAACACTCGACGAACACTCTACAAAACGGTCAAACATCTAAATCCCATTGTATTCAATGGGTCTGGTTCACACCTTGCCGTATTTCCGCCCGTCCGAACGTGATACAAAACGGCCTACGCCCAAAGAAGTACATGTACTTCTTGGGGGCGTTTTGGTCTCGCGTTTCCATTGGGATACAGCCAAGTAGCCCACGGAAAAGCGCGTTTGTCGCACGTTTTTTTTAACCGCAAAACGCACATATTCAATACGCCTAGGTGTGAACCCAGCCTTAGGCCCCATTCACACTTGGCGATTCGCAAATCGCGCGATATGCATTTTGCGCGATGAATCGCGGCAAAATCCACTACAAAAAGGGTCCTGCTGTAGCGACGCACGACCCGCGACAGCAGGACCCTTTGCCAAGCATTGGAGAGCAATATCGCGCGGTAAATAGCCGCGATATCGCGGGAATTACCGCGCGATAAATCGCTCAGTGTGAACGGGGCCTTAGACTGCAAGCCCTCTCGAGCAGGCCCTCCTTACCATCTTGCCTGGAATTGCATTGTAATGTCTTCCTTATATTGAAAAGCGCAGCGCAAACTGTTGGCGCTATATAAATCCTGCTGTGTGTTGCAGTGCAGCTGCTGGTGTGACTGCAGCCTAAATGGCGGACCACGGTTCAGAAACTGTGGCTGTCCTGTCCGGACCGCGATTCGGACCTTGGCTCGATGAAAATTTTGCCCGCCGTGTCTCCTTGAATTTTATTTCATCACCCCTGCGCTAGACCAAAGCCAAAGTAGTCTTTAAAAGACTTAACATGACAGACATTTGTCTTTTTTAACCTAAATATAAAGCTCTAAAAAGTTTAGAAAAAAAATAATGCTTTTAAATAATCACTCACCTATGTGACGATGCTTTCTTTGGTGCACGTTCGTATTCGACAGGATACCAGCGCCTGAGACGAGCAAAATATCACATGTAAAATACAAAACACCCAACTCCAGGTAATATGTTTTTTATCTTTAAACATAGCAAGTAGAATTAGAACTTCTGCCCGGTTATTATTGTGATCTGTGACACCAGAGCGATTTCCCCATTTTTATTCCCAAAACAAGTAATGACGGGATGAGGCTCACTGGGACAGGAAGGCACAGACACCAATAAAACCACAGAAAGCTTCTAAGCATTCCCCTTTTCAGGGCTGTCATCATCCCTACTTGGTGTAGTCCTGCCTGTAACAAGCATGTGCATATTAACCAGTTGACATCCGCGGTGTTAAACCCCCTTCCCATCCAGGCCATTTTTCAGTATTCAGCGCTGCGGTACTTTGACTGACATTTATTCCGTCATGCAGCGCTGTACACGGCAACCCGCAGATGCAGCAGTGCCGTTCTTCCGTTTTTTTACTACGGGCGGACGGCAAGAGGTTAAGTGTCAGAAAACTTGAGGTAAACCTTACCTGCATAATTCCTTTATAGTGCTTACATCGATGATCCTGTAATGCAAATGTCTCATAAACTGAGGCATGTACTTGTTCAGGAATACTTTATCCACGTGCACAGAATTTCCTGGAAAAAGAAAAAAGGATAAGAATTTCTACCTGTGTGACAACTTTATAGATTGAGCATATAGTACATAACTCAGTTACTGACTGTAGCTATACCAACTGTATTCACACTTTATCATCACAATTCTTGTGAAAATAATGATATGGCCTAGACAGTTCATGGTATATGACCACAGTCACTTTACTTTGAGAACAGCACTATCTTGAAGTGACACTAAACTCAGGAGTTAAATCTTAAAAATTTATTCACGTACCTTAAAGTGACATTAAAGTGACATTCCCCCCCCCCAATGCTAGTGTAAGGACTTTTGCCTCTTGATCCAATCATCTTCTTTCCTGTAGTTTTCAGGAGTCCCTCCAGTGCTGGTGCCGGTCTCTGATCCAGCGCTGACTCCTCTCTTCCTGGCACGTCCTGTCCCACAGAGTCTGTGCGTGTGCCTGACTTACCCCCCCGTGTCTCTCCTCTTATCCCGGCCAAAGATCTTTACTGCGCATGCACCCGCCCCATGATCCTTCACGGCAGCGAGCGGGAGACACAGGTAAGTAATAACCTGTTGGTAACTTTTTGGTATTTTTTGCATACATCTACTCCGTGCTAGCAGTATATATATGCAGAAAAAAAGCTTTAAATTATACTTTAACTAGTAGCCACCGCTCCAAGCTCACTCCCGTGATGGACTACAATTTCATGTTTAGTTTACCATTTTGTGTTGAGATTGTAGTCCATCACAGGAGTGAGCTTGGACTGGTGGCTACTTCACAACACACACAGGGGCCATGGGAGCACTGGCGGAACTACCAGGGTCGCAATTGCGACCGGGCCCTGGCGTTCGGCCACTTGGGGGTGGGCCCAGCGAGGAAGAAGAGGGCCACCCCTCCAGAGAGTTGCCGCTACATCCCTGCACAGCCACCCGTAGCATGTACGGGCAGCTGTGCGGCAGGGATGCATTGTCGTCCACACGCACTCAGACCGGCACAGTTCCTTGCGGCCTCGGCTGCAAGGTACTGTGCCCGTCTGAGCTGCTTCTCTCCTATCTGCCTCTTAGTTCCAGGGTCTCAGAGAGAGGAGAGTGATCTCTGAGACTTCAGAGTGATGAGTCATTCGGAGGCGGGGCGTGCTGCGTGTAGGAGTCCCGGCCGGGCTGAGCAGGCTGCAGGTAAGATGGTTTAGTGTGCAGTGTTTGTTCTGACCCCCCTCCCTCCCTTTCCTCTCTATTCCCCCTCTCCTCTGTCTCTCTGCTTGTATTGTCATCTAAAGCAAACAATTGCTCAATCTTATAGAATCACTAGTAATTATTTTGATTGTATAAGACTGAGAACAATACTAAGCGCAGATACTGGTGTTCTGTCGAGAACCCCGGCCTAGTCAAATTAGCCGACCTCAGCATCTGCGCTTGCGCACAGACCAGTATTATTGAGCAAACCGGGATTTACTTACAAAGTATTTCCTTTAAATCGTTAATTGTGATAGTTAATATTATTCCATCATTTCCTGCCATGGACGACATATTATTAACGGTCACAATTAACCATTACAAACAAATATTTTGTAAATAAATGCCGGTTTCCTCTGTAATCCTGTCTGTATGTAAACGCAGATACTGGGCCGGCGTTCTCGACAGAACACCGGCATTAAAATGTTAAACAAGCGGCTGCCTGAGGTCCCACGCTTGCTGGGGAACTCGTCAGCCTGTTAACCATGCGGTGCCATGGCGGCCCTTCATGGTTTCTTGCACCGGGGCCCTGAAGGTTCTAGTTACGCCTCTGCATGGGAGACAAAAGTATCCCCCCTCCAGAAGGAAGGACAGTGTCAGCCCCAATTCAGAGATGATTTGAGGATCTGCAGCCGAGTGATACACAAATAAGATACATTTATGTTAATAGTTGGGGTAATTGAATGCATTTTTAAGATTTACTACTGAGTTTAGTGTCACTTTAATGGTATCCATAACCCTTCACTACGGGAAACACATATTTATCTGAATTATAATTACATTACTATAATTATGTCTTTGTTAACTTTATTTCTAAGTATAACAAAGAGAAACTCGTACTCTGCTTGTGGTAAGGGTATTTTACTGTCCCGTACGGCTTGTGTGAGGCCAGACTGTAACGAAGAGAAAGAAATATTAATAACATAATCCGGGATTTAAAAACCACACATCAAGTTAAACCTTTTTAAATGCTATAAATCCCTACAGAGCAATGTAAAAATGTTAAAAAGCATGGTTTCACAACAATTGCAATATGACCTCCATATAAATCAAATCACTCTCATAAGCATTCAGTGATTTTACAGTTGTGGTTCTAAATCAGTTTTATCAACACCCCCCACAACAGTCATCTCCAAGCTCAGGTACTCACTAAGTTTTTATATGCTCAAAAATTTGGATTTTTGTATTCCCAGTAAAATCTAGGAGCAGCTTGCAGCTCAAAAAGATGCCTGAAGGACCTTACACTCAAGCTGAACAGAACAGATGAGGCAGAAATGTCCACCTGGCCATCTGCTTTATTAGCTTCTGAAGCTGGAGAGCGACACAAGACGACACAAGAATGTGGAAGTGATGTAATATACATCACTTACGCATTTTGACACTGGAGAGGGGAATCGGATGCAGACCATGTACTGATCTCCCTCTGATCCCCTATCACAGAGCCACCGTGCTGGTCCCGGGCTCACACTGGGCACAGCGGAGCTCGGGACCAGCAGGACAGCGGCAGCGCACAGACCTGCACATTATACAAGCGATCCGCCAGCTCTATAGCCGGCGGATCGCCTGTTTTTACATTTTGTCAGCCTCCCGCTCACGTGCAAGCTCCCGGCCGGCTGTGTAACTACAACGGCCGTCAGGGAGTCGTTAAATTAGGATGCGGACAGCTCACTCGCCTTGCAGAGGTAATGGATTCAAGGAATACCATCTTGTGGGGGAGAAAGCAATTTCTCTAATGAATTCAAACAGTGGTTTTTAAATTGCAAAAAGAAACAGATTCAGATGTTACAGAGTCACAGGGGAATGGATGTGGTAAGCTACATCAGAGACCACCAGCACAAAAACATTAATCGATTAGGGTGGAAGCCCCAAGACGAACGTTGAACATCTCTTAACAGTCAGAGGGGGAAGATTTTGCAGTCTGTTCCTAAGGCCTCTTCCGCTGAGGAAGATGGTTGCTCTTACCGCCAGAAGCATTCCATGATGATATTATCAAGAGTTGCTCGAAAGAGATAAATGTACCTCAAAAGGCCATGTGGATCAAATGCTTCTTGCACATGGATTTTGCAAGTTCAAAGTGCCCTATGGTTGTCAACTGACACATGCAGAAAATAAGACGAGAAGCTTCAAGTAGACTATCACAGCTGAAATTTAAAGCTACAGCCATCTGCGCCACATGTTCAAAAAGCATGGGATCAATAACAGTAGGTCTCGGTTGAGGGATTTTGAACAGTCAGACAAAACAGTCACAGCCAGGATCAGGTAAATGGCAGGACTTGCCAGCGAGAATAGAGCTCTAGAAAACTCTATTATCAGCTGGGTCCTTAAAAGCAGATTGGTTTCCTACTGGAAAAGAAAGTGCCTTTTTAAAAGGTGGAACACTGGAAAATCCACAGTGGAATAGACCACAAATCTCACCAGAAAGTACAAAGCTAATAACTGCTTGGGGAAAGCAAAACAGCTTGTCAGGATGTTTCCAATCTCCATAGAGAAAAAGAGTTGGAAAAGAGAAAGCAAGGGGCAAGCCAAAATTGTAAATGGCTTACAACATGTTGATGCTCTATTTTCAGAGAGATGCACACTGCATTAATAAGAGCCGAAACAGTCTCCTTTAAAATAGGACGCATGGCAAAAAACTGCGACTTCTCAGGGGTAAGGTCATCAGTCAAGGACTGGATCAATATAGAATCGTCTTTGCTGCCAATGGTCCAGAAACCACTAAGGCCATTGGAGAATCCGATATATAATTGGTTGGAGAGGGGGCGGTAGGGCTTTTTTTGACCTCTAGCCAGAGTTAGCAAATAGCGGGGTAATTTGGGCCATAAATTGACTGTTGTAAACAACCTTAGCCAGGACAGGGGAAGCAGCCAGATTGTTCCCTAGAATGAAACCCACAATACAAATGTGAACATTTATGCAAAATTAAAAAAGGTAAAGTTAAAATCTGCACATGCAATGTTTTCTATATTGACTTTGTATAGTAAAAAACAAATTACATTGATTGAAGTTATATCTGAATCTTACCTTCCCATGATGTTCTTTGCACCATTCTGACATGCCATCCAGTAGCTCATCAGGTTGTTTTATGATCAGGTTCGGACCCTGTCATTAACAGAATGGTAATGAACACTTAAAGTATTAGGTAAAATGTTACATAGTATTTGAGGTTGAATAAAGACATTAGTCCATCAAGTCCAAACCTATAGTTCCCAGGTTGGCACCTAATGAAGGGAATATAGTTTGCTAAAGCACTGTGTGCCAACTAATTGACAAAATTAAATCATTGTTGTAACTTATTTGCCATCCTTTATTACATTTCAGTGCTCATGCTCTCCTGAAGCTTCTTTGTAGCCACTTTCCAGTTCACATGCATGCAAGCCAGCACTGGCTGCATAGTGACAATAGTAAACAAAGTCTGTGGATGTATGTTAGCATGGCCCCCTGAAGTCTCCATTGGGAGAAAATATGAAAGGGTGACAACACAAGAGCACAATTAGAAGAGAGGGACAGAGCGTCGTCATCCTAGCACAGGAAATGTCTGAATAAGGACCTTTATGGCAGGATCACCAGGTATTATTTTAGTTAATGTTGCAGATTTAAAACGGACCTTTTAAAATTATGTTAACAAGCACCCAATGCGACAGAATAGAGGAAGTGACAGGTCCTCTTTATGGAGACATTATGGGTCTATAAGATCCTTAATGTCCCTTATGATTTGTGCATCACCAGCTTCTTCTCTGGCCACAGCAACTGGAAAGATGACAGCTTGAAACCAGAAGTGACAAAATCCCTATTGCTTCCAGGTTCAGTGATCGGAGGAATATCAGATACTGGAAGTGTGCTAAACTCCCTCCGATCCAGCCGCAGACACCCGTCGTGGCAGTCCTAGGTGTGCCTGCACATACTCCTCAGCTGTATACAAGTATGTGAAAACTGGGCGATCTGTAAATTTGGTCATGCAACATGACATTACAGGTCATAAACATTTTTACCACTGGCAATAATGGGGGGTTTTACGAATCACAAAACAATCACAAAAACAATTTTACAGTAAAAAAAATTTCTCGGAGTGCATTGATGGTCACAGCTCTGAAGAATTCTGAGACATAGGCCTCTAGGAGAAATGGACACTAGGCAAAAAATTAAGAGCCTGCAACTTTAATGACATAACCCCTCCCTCCTCGCACATGCCAGTTGTAGTAAACAGTATACTTCAATTCACTGCGAGAAAATTATTTTACAGTAAGAACAAAATCCTATTTTCTGTATCCTCCATTGAGGGACACAGCTCTGAGGAATTCTGAGTTGTTGGGATGTTCAAAAGCAGTCCAACACAAAGGGCCGGGCACCGTGACCAGTAGAAGAAAAACAGCTCATCAAAAAGAGAACTGTTAGATACTCCAACAGCTGCCTGAAGATGTTTTCTGCCAAAACTAGCATCAGAAGAGGCAGAAACATCAACTTCATATAACTTTGCAAGTGTGAGTGGAAGATCAAGTTGCAGCCTTGCAAATTTTAGCGACAGCTGTCCGATTATGAAAAGCCTACGGAGTGCTGATTGCCCTAGTACAGGGGTCAGCAACCTGAGGCTCCGGAGCCGCATGTGGCTCTTTCATCCCTCAGCTGCAGCTCCTTGCCCAGGGGCGGAACTACCGCCGGGGCCTCAGGCTGTGGGGGTGCCCAGTGAGGTCCAGTCCTGGGCACTTCTATCCGACTTTGTGAGTGGGGTGGAATGTGAGATTGCACTCAGAGTCGGATAGAAGTGACATTTCAGGACCGATCAGCTGTTCCAGGGCAGATCGGTTCTCCTGCACATACGATTTGCGCTGCCGATCTGCCCTGGAACAGCTGAGAAAGCTAGAATAGCTTTGGGTTCTGATGAAGGGGGCGTGCCCCAGAAACGCGTAAACCATTTATCAATACAGGGATCGAGGTTACTGGTGTTTTACATCGCTCCAGATTCTCCCTGCCAGGGGTTCTGTCCTCTCACCTTATTCTACTGGTTTTTATTCTACCTAACTGTTGTAAGTACAGCCTTAGAGCTGCATGTTTTTACTATTAAATAACATTTTTACACTATGGAGGCGCTCTCTTTTGTTCCTTTTCTCATAAGCTGAGAAAGCGTTGGAATGCTTGACCTATTGGCGGTCACACATTCCACCCCTAAAAAAAAATGGGCAGAATTACATTGAAATGTGTGACCAGGTCACCGGTCACACATTGTAATGTAGTCACAAACATTGATAGAAAACCGTCATCAGGGGGGTACGGCCGGTACCCACGTGAGGGGTCTGGGCAGCCTCTTACATGAGTATCAGCTGTACCAGGGGCGGCATGGAAGAGATGACGGGGAGGGGGTGGAGGAGGCCAGGCCCCAGCAGGTAAGAGGAGTTGGGAGGAGGTACAGGGAAAGGGACCCCGGCGACCAGCCCACCTGAGGCCCTGCAGAGCCCACCATAGAGAGAGTCTCAGATGGGCTGTGCAGGATCCATCGTCTGCTGTGCAGGGTCACTATCAGGTGGGCTCTGCGGGGTCTCAGGTAAGCCAGAGTCCAGTGCGTTCCTAAGCCCAGACTCCAGTGCATTACTAAGCCCACATATACTTATATTCATTCTATACATAGCATAAAAAGGTAAAAAACGATATATGCAGTGTTATCTTCATTTTAGATGTCAAAAGAGTTTTGTGGCTCCCGGTGGTGTTTTTTTTTTCTGTGGGAAAGGGTTCCTAATGGCTCTTTGAGTGTTTAAGGTTGCTGACCCCTGCCCTAGTAGAACGAGCAGAAACAGAAAATGGGGGAACCTTATCCCGCAACTCGAATTTGAATGACAACCTGCCACACCCACTTAGAAATAGTGGATCTAGAAACTGAACAACACTATTTAGTACATCCTGGCAGGACAATAAAGAATCCAAACATCTAAAGATGTGGCTGACAGATAAACTCTAACAGCCCGCACAACAGACAAACGATGAGAGAAAATTCCTTAGGAAGAACAGGAGGGTGAAAAGGAAATCTGCAAAACAACCTTGTCCTTATGAAGAACCAAATAAGGTTCACTGCAAAACACATTTTCGGCCAGGACGTGAGGAGACACACAATGTAAGTCTATGGACGCGTGCACCCGCACGCAGACACCATGGGACAGGAAGTGCCAGCAAGCCCAGAGGAGTCAGCGCTGGATCGGAGACTCGCCGCAGCGCTGGAGAGAAGGCTGAAAACTACAGGAAAGAATAGGAGATCGGATTAAGAGGCATCATTTAAGGTAAGTGCTTTAATTAACGTTGGGGGAGGGAAATGTTTTTTTTTGCCTTTAATGTCACTTTAAAGCCAGCGACCAAGAAGCAGAGTGGAAGACTGGTCCCCGAGATAACAGATCTGGCTGACCTGAAGGCAGGCACAGATCTAGACAAACTTCCAGGATTTAATATTATCCGGCATGAATCAACAAGCAGCTCTTAAGAGAAGAATTTTGTCCGGGAAACAAAAACTAAAATAAATAAAAGCAGAAGAGAAAGACTTCCATTCTCCCGAGGGCAATAACACTGGCAGGTGGGAGGGGCTATAAAGTGGCAGGCTTTTCATTTTTGTGCTTTGTGTCCATTTCTCCTAGAGGCAGCAACATAACCCTACGTCTCAGAATTCTTCAGAGCTGTGACCTTCAATGGAATAGAGAAATAAGGCTCAACATTATTACCCTTCTTATACAATGTTCAATGTGATATATGGAAGACTGAACCTTTGCTTTGCCCATGCAGGACAAAGCAATGGGTCCACTTTAATATCATTCTCAGCATTAAGTTTACATTATACACACAGATGAATATAAGGATCTATAACGGGTCAGATCAATCACTGCAAAAATCATCATTCAATGTCAGACAAAAATACAATAGAAAATCAGTTCTACGATATCACTGACTTAGAAAAACAAAAATATAAAATTCCTGGTCACCCGGGCAAACCCCAATCATCTCATCTTCATCACCCAACCCAAACTTTGTGATCACTAATACCCCCCACAATCACCAACCTCCCCTTTATCCTCCGGGACAACCTTTGTGATCACTAATACCCCCACAATCACTAACACCTCCTTTATCATCCGGGACAACCTTTATGATCACTAATACCCCCTTTATCATCAGGGACAACCTTTATGATCACTAATACCCCCACAATCACTAACACCTCCTTTATCATCCGGGACAACCTTTATGATCACTAATACCCCCTTTATCATCAGGGACAACCTTTATGATCACTAATACCCCCACAATCACTAACACCTCCTTTATCATCCGGGACAACCTTTGTGATCACTCATACCCCTTTATCCTCCAGGACAACCTCTGTGATCACTAATACCCCTCTCCCAATCACTAACATCCACTTTATCCTCCGGGACAACCTCTGTGATCACTAATACCTCCCTCCCATTCACTAACATCCCCTTTATCCTCCGGGACAACCTCTGTGATCACTAATACCCCCCTCCCAATCACTAACATCCACTTTATCCTCCGGGACAACCTTTGTGATCACGGATATCCTCCCCCCAAACAGTGGGCCAACCTTGGTGAATACTGACAACCACACGTTATCCGGGCCAATGTCCCCAATCACTAAAGCTCAGCCTTTATAACCCGGGCCAACCTTGATGATCACAAAACACCAATACTTACCTCAGCAAGGATGTTAAGCTCATGGTCCGTTATTAAACACGCCATCTCAATTATTTGGTCCTTTTCAATATCCAATCCAGTCATCTATAATATCAGTAAAAAATTAGATGCGATACAGAGAAAATCAATGGAGATGATTTTTTTTATTAACAAAATAAATATGCAAATCCCATTCTTTATTTCAGGCATTTTTATAGCCATGACATATATATATATATATAGCGAGGAAAATAATTATTAACTTGTCACATACAGGTTACAGTCACTCTAAAAATGAGCTGACCCCTCTCGGGGTGTGAATGTGTCGTCGTCGTCACCACCCACCCTCCTCGTCTCACCTCCAGATCCACCCAAACCATGCGCTGCTCCATTCTGTGTGACAGGCTCCGGCGCGATCTGATAGCCAAGGAGGACGTTGTCATTAAGCCATGAACTCTGCCAAGTGTCCTCCTACCACAGACACCAAGAAGCATCCCCCGAGCCGAGCAACACTTCTAGTCACACACCCTCCATGCCACAAGTCCCGGCTTTCCACACACTTCCCTCACACTAGAGGCGGCTCCTCTGGGCCACCGTACTGACTACGTTACTTCACCCACAACGGTGACTCAGATAGGCGTACACACCGCCACGCCCCCTCCGCTCGGGGACACGCTGGAAAGCTGAACAGCCATGTGATCGAGCAGGATGGGCGGGGACAGGAATAGATATTGCAGTAGTGTGAGAAAGCGGGAAAAATGAAATGCAGGGGTGGAAAAATGAAATGGGGGGGGAAAAAAT